GAAATAAATGATTAAATTAGTGGAAAAAATAATTAATTCCTTATAAATCACCAGCAAGATTTATGCATCTCATATTCATGAAAAAATTTTAAAATCTGAAAATCCAAAAATCGCTCAATATAACTTATCTTAGAATATCCTATCCAAGGGGCGCTTGATTTTAGCAGAGGAATTTAGGATGGTTGGGAGATTATTGGCTTTTATATTTGATGAAACAATTGAGATGGGAAAGTACACATTTGATAATATCCAGATCCATCATTACTATTATTATTTTTGTTGTCATCATCATTATCAAAAACTTTATGTGGATATTCCTATAAGTTCAAGGTAAGCTTACAATAATATTTATATAAATTGCCTACCAACATTATAAAAATAATAACTTTCAATAACGACTTTAAAACATCAACTTTAAAAGTTTGACTTTTTACAATAATAATAAAAATTACTGTTAAAAGGATAACTTTTTATGATGACTATATAATTGTCAAACTTTTAATAGCGACAAGCCGACAAGTGAATTTTGCTGCTGTAGTTTTAAGTTTTAGATACGACATATAAATCATCGCTGAAGTCAAACTTTTGTATTATTATCATTATTTTTTTATTTTTTTTGTTTAATTCAATATTTAACATTTTAAGACATTAATTTTATTGTATTATTGTATTAATTTTTTTGTATTATTATAATTTTATAATGAATATATAACATAACATAATGAATTTTTATTTATTATATTTTATGGTTAAATTATAACTTTAAAATAATGACATTATTTTAAGATAAGGTTAAAGTATTATTTAATGCTAATGAGCCAAACTAAAAAATTAAGCCAAACCGTATTATTTTATATTAATTTTTGTTCAAGTAATTATTTAGGCCAGTTTGGTTAATTAATTTTTTTGATTAACACTGAATTTAATTAAATTGACCAATACATATCCCTATGTAAAGTGACAAATTCATTTAAAAACCTAGTATTTGATATTTTAATTCAGAATGCATATAGTGCAGTAATGAGTCTCTATTTTCAAGTGTTTTATGATTAAATTAATATTTTAAACAATAGCACTACTTATTTATAATAATTAGACATGTGATAGTTAAATTTATCTATTCATAAAATGATATTTCATCTAATCTAATTTTTCAATTCAAATTCTATATTTAATACCGGTGACTTTAAAATTTAATGTCAGTTTAGATGTTTCTAATTTGATGGCTAATGATAGCAAAGTGAGAAAGATAAAAAGAAGAAAAATAAGATATTCTAAAATTTTACTTTTAACTTTTACAATATATAAAATATATCTATGTATGTGATGCCATATAATTTTTTTTTGTTTGATGCTATCTTGGGACATAAATATTAAAAAAATTAGATAATATAGTATATAATTTTCCTATAAAATTATAATTTAAAAATAAAAATAATTAAAATTAAAATGTAATGTAAAAACAAGCCAATTACATTACTTAAAAGTAATTAAAAATAAAATAAAATTTTAAATAAAACTAGCTAGAATAATAAATAATTATGATATAATATATAATCATCTATATTTTTATTATTTATTCTTAGATATTTTTATATTATAATTATAAATATGAAGATTAAAATAAATAATATAAATGATATTGTATCAATTATATTTATAATTTACTTTAGACAAAATAAATAATATAATTTACCATTTTAAAAAATTAAAAGAATTAAATTAAAGTATTTAATGATAGTAATGATATTTTATAATATTTAATATTTAAGATATATGTGTGTTTATTTAGTTTAATAATATATATATATATATATATATTTAATTGTGCAATAATAGACTGTAAGTTCATTTCAGCTTAGTGACAAAATAATGAGTCATACAGGGAGAAGATCATAGATTCAAACTTTAAAAGAAACAATTTATAAAATGAAAATATAAATTGAGGATACGATGACATATAGTGTGAAGTGGGGGCAACACATGAAAATTGATATGCCTCCACATGAAGGGTGACATGCCATCATGTGGTTACATAAATTAGCATTACTTTTCAATAGTGACTTTAGTTTATGTGATGACATTTGTTGTCGTCGATTTTCAACTTTTTATAATGATAAATATTCTTTTCTGTGACGACATTTGTCATCGCTGATTGAATATTTTTAATAGCAACTTTTGTTATGCCATAGATAAAATTAACAATAAGAGCTCTCGTAGTAAGTATCACTACTGAAAACTTTTCAACTTTCAGCTTGTCGTGTTGAAGGTTTTTTTTTTTTTGTAGTGCAACAAGCGAAATACTGACATTAACATTAGATTTGAGCCTATAATCTTGTTAATTATATATGTATCAAATATTTATAAAATAAACCCATCTTTTGTTCACAATGTGTTCTATTATTGAATAACGAAGGTTGGCAGCTAAGGGGACGTTCTTCACGCCATGGCGGATTATCATCATTGGAATTCTCTGGATATATAGTTTTTGAATTCCATCTATTGAACTTCGGTACATGTATATCTATTTTTTTTTAACCATTAATGCCGTTCCATTCATGTCTCATTTTATTATTGTCATTTAAACTAGTTGCAGATGGCCTCAAATTAAAAGCATATTTTATTCTTATTCTTATACTATAATATTTGTGTATAATTATACTATGTATAACTTGTACACTAATTTTTTTTTTTTTTGCGTATACATTAATTTTCTTTTTCTATTAAAAAAATTCAACTAATATTGGTGTGAGTGGCTGTAAGTTTTTTCCCTACCTTTACCCTTTCCTACGTAAGGAACGATGACCACACATTCTACACTTGCATCAATCTTTTCACCACATGGAATATATAATTTATTTTCTTTGTTAAAGAGGTGCATAGTGCCATTAAGTCAAAAGACTCTAGATATGTATTTTATTCTTAGCACAATTCTCTGAGCTCTTATTAAAATTAAAGTAATTATATTTAAAGTATGGTCGCCTACTAAATGTGGGCTTTTTCAACACAAATTTGAATTTTAATTCAATCGTGTAAGAAACTAATCCTTCTTAACCTTATGTAACGTAATTATAATTATCTTTTCTTATTATTTTTAGTTTCTTTTCACCAAATGGAATAATTTTTTTCTTTTTGCGGGTTCAGATTAATTAGTCTCATTTCATAATGTCAGGGCTATAATAATTTTAGTGTTAAAGTTCAAATTAGGGCTAGCATTTTCACCATCAATCTCATATCTGGCAGCCATTTCACTTGCCACGTCAGATCTTCTTCTTTCGCATCCCACCTGACACGACACACCGCGATCAACCTCCTCCCCCATCATGTCGGTCGTTCACCTCGCTGCTACACCCTCTCTGGCGTTTCCAAACAACATAAATTATATGCATTTATGTTCTAATTTCTTAGCACAAAAAAAAAATAATTTCTGAATTGGTAAAAAGATATAAAAGAATGACTATCATTTTATATTATAAATTACTAAAGGTATCATTTATAATTATTAATCTATCGTGTTAATTAAATAGAATAGGAAAACAGATAAATATTGCATAATAGAAAAATTAAGGAATAAAATAAAAATGAAGAAAGATAAATTACAAATTAGAATTTGAATTAGTTTAACAAAAGTCCATTAGTTATTATTCAAAAGTCAGAGATATAATAGAAGATTTCGATAATATCTCTATCACATTCATTATCCTATGGTTATCATTAAAAAAATAAGAATCAATGATTGAGGAGAATCAACTTTTTGAATTCTGTTTTCATGTATAATCATTACTAAATATTTTATACCAATTTTAAAATATATTTTAGAATTAATGGAGTTCAGATAGCTAGAGAAGACACTAATAATTAATGACAATATGCATGTATGTATATGAAAGTACTGAAACAATAACGGATATAAGTTGCGGGTAACTTTTAAAACAAATATATATATTACAATACATATATAGCAGTGTATAACAAAATTTTATACTCTCTTCATCTCAAATTATAAGATATTTTTAGATAAAATTTTACATATCAATAAACCTCATTAAATATATTTAATAACCTTATTTTTTTAAAATAAAAATATAAAATTTTAAAAGTAGCTATCATTTAATATATTAAAAAGAGAATGGACAAAAATTAATTATAAAAAAAAAGAATAATATTAGAATTAGTGCATTTAATGAAACTTTAATCTACCCAAAGTGTTTTATATTTTGGAATGAAGAAACTTTTTCAAAATTATCATATTATTTGAGATGGAGGGAGTATTATATATATATATATATATATACACATATATAGTCTTCAATATGAATAATTAGCAATATCTCTTTTCTAATTCATTTTTGTTCTTCAAATAGTATTTTGAAATTAATTGACCACACATATTGGGATGAAGGTGATGAACGCATAAAGAAAAATATATATCATGCAAAAAATAATTTTGCTCATAACTCAACGCATTTTAAGCAAATAATATTCACAGGTTCTGAACTCATCAGAAGAAATTGTTCTCCCAACTATGGTACAATTAACCCGGCTCATCAAACTCATATTAGTCAGCAATATATTGAAAGGATCAAAGTTCTTAAAATTCACTATTAAAGTTTTTTTAATTTAAGTTCACTCTCTTAAATTTTAGAGAAATTGCACATGCCATTTGGAGAGAGTATAGATGACGTGATGTACTAGATTCATGCAAAATTTTTTTACAATTATTAATTATATCGCTTTACATTCATATTGTGGCCCGTGAATCAAAATCAGACTCATGTATCATCACTTGATTTATTTTGACGGGCCAAATGCTTTCAAATTTAGGAAATTAGACTTGAGAGAGTAAGCTTAAGACAATGTTCATCCATAATATTGAATACCATGAAACGAGCTGTTAAAAACACAATTTACAAGCTTCTGAGATCTGGGATTCAAACTTGGGAAAAATAAAGTGATGGCCCCAAAGAAAGAGGCAAATACAAATTAAAACACGCACATTATTACTCATAAAATGATGTTGACTTGTCAGTTTCTTCGTGCTCCGAAACATAAGGCACATTCAGATCAAAATCCAGAATTTTCGAACCAGATTGATGACTTGCCTCTTCCATTTCCTCTTCGTTATTGCTGTTATTCTCCTGATTATTCGAACTTGACACTAACCTCTCTTCACTTATCAGCGACGCTGCTTCTTCTTCTTCTTCACTCAATCTTGCACCAGCTGACAAATTAGCTCCATTGATACAAACCTTGTGTGGTTCTTCTTCCTCTTCCTCTTCTCCTTGTTCCTTGCCCTTCAAGCTGATAACAATGTTCTTTCCTCTATTGTGTTTGGATCTATGTCCTCCTAAGGCTTGAAAAGTTGAGAAGGATTTATCACAGATTTTGCATACATAGCTTTGTGCAGGCTTCACTTCTTCCTTCAGAGTTCTTATCAGCAATTCTCCTTCACCTGATGAATTATTCTTCTTGTTCTTCTTAATCTTTTTCTTCTCTTTCACTAAACTCATCACCTTCATCTTCCAGATTTCATCATCATCATCATTCTCAGGTTTCAACTTGTTCTCACTGATGCCCTCTAATTTCTCAGTGCAATTCAAGCTATGTTTCCCAGCCAATGGTGATGAAGAATTAATAACATCGTTCACATTCTTCTTCCTTTTCTTCACTGGTAATAATACTGTTGCAGGAGGGTCTGGAGGAGGAAGATGACGAAAGTAATTACCAAAGGAATACATATACATAAGGGTTTGAGCTGCTTGTGCAGCTCCAAAGCTTCCTCTTCCTCTTCGATCTTTCTTGAGCCAGCTTCCAGAACAAGACAAAGAAAGATCAACTATTGCAGTAGCTCCGCCTTCTTCTAAACTTGAAGATGACGATCCATTGTTGTTGTTCAGATTAGCTTCGCCGACGTCATTATCATGATATCGATCTTGAGCTGATGCTTTGAACTGTGCTTCTGGAGAAGAAGAAGAAGCTAATGGAGCGTTATCAGTGAAAGGAGGGTTCATACCTCTCCATTCTCTCTCAGGATGAGATCTCATATGGCCGAACAATGATTTCTTCGATGGAAAATCCTTCTCGCAAACACAACAACGGAAAGATGTTGAAGAATTGTTGAGATTTCCAATGTTCGATTTGATGCGATTATCGTCGCCGCCAGCAAAATCCTCAGACATATTGTTATTGCTGGGCTTGGTTCTTAGGGTATAGTAATTATTTGAAGAAGGACATTGATCAGAAGAATGATTGACCTTTTCTCGTTGCTGTTGAGCCTCCATTTTTTTCTGAGCTTGAATGTGATATCTTCTGTGACCTCCTAGGGCTTTTCCAGAACTGAACTGTCTTCCACAGAAATCACAAACTCGAACTGATGATGCTGAACCTGAAGCTGAACCTGGAGCTCCATTAGTTTTACTCTTAGATTTTCCTTCTCGGAGCTCGGAGTAAGACGAAAAAGGCTTTTCGCTGATCATCACCGTCATCTTCTCTACCTCTTCGGAAGATTCCTGATCGAACCCTTGGTTCTCCTTCGCGTCCTGAGTCACCTGAAGAGCCGTCGTCGTCGTCGTGATCAATAATCAAATTAGAGTGCGAAAATCAAAGAGCAACAATAAGATATTGAAGAAATTCAACTCACCGGATCATCAAATTCATGATCACGAGGCTTAAATTCTTGACAGAAAAGTACTCTATTTTCTTCGTCAGAATCCATCTGGGTCACCGTGAGAGAGAAAAGTAACGGTTCAGAGGCTGTGTTCTTGATCTCGAAACGGTGAAGCTTAAGAGGCTTATGAGTTGAAGGTCAAAGTAAAAGAGGGGAAAGAGAGAGAGATAGAGATTATTAGGTTTAATTCCGTGATCAGAGAGAGAAAAATGTGAGATTGGTGAAACTGAATGGTGAGCAAAAGTGGTTAAAGGAAAAGAACAAGAAGAAGAAGAGGAAGAGGGGCCAATTGAATTTAAAGCTAAACGTGTGTGTGAAATTGCGATATAATCTCTTCAAATTGATATTTGCAATAAAGTGAGTCTTTAATGATTTTCTAAACCCATAACAGATATTTTCGCATGTCTGACTCTCTATTTGTGACGATTTATTTAAATCTTTCACCGAACCAAAAAAAGAAATATTATGTACAAAATATATAAAAACTACAAATACAAATATATAAACCCGTAACAGATAAATCTATTTGTCCAAAACATAACAGACAAATCTATTTGTTGACTGAAAAAAAAAATTGGGGATATATTGGATTCTTAAAAAAAAGAACTTAGGCTTGCTCTTAAATTGAAAAAAAAAAGCTTTATATAAAATTTGAATTTTGTCTGTAATTTAAAAAAATATTTTTTTCAGTCATCAAATCTTAATATTGTTAATTTTATTAAATGATAATTTTTGTGGCAATCATTATCATTATTATTTTAAAAAATTAAATTTAATATATCAACAATAATGTTTTATCAACATTTAACATTTCAATATTCATATTATGTTTTTTTCTTACTAATGAAACCAATGAAGTTAAGGTTAGAGAGTTAAAAAGACATTTTATAAAATTAAAGGATAAAAATAAATTGTTAAAGTGTACTTTTATTCTCCTAACTTTACATGAAGTTTCAATTCAGTCCTTTAATTTTAAAAAGTATCTCTTCAATCCTCTAACTCTAATGCCATTAGTTTCAAATGATTATTTTTGTGTCAATCATTATTATTTTAAAAAAAATTAAACTTATGAGAATGTCAGCATATGAGAATGTGATGAAAATAATAGTACAAGAGTTAAAGAATTGAAAGAATTTTTTATAAAATTAAAGGATTAAAATAAAATATTTTGTAAAGTTAAAAGACTAAATGTATGTATTAGTCAAAATAAAATCTTATATGAATTTAAATCTCTTAAAGCTGTTAATTAGATTAATACTTCTGGGTCAAGTCAGATGAGGGCAAATCTCTTCCATAGGTCAAATTCTAATTTTCTTTGGCATAAAAAATTTATTTTTTTTTTTTGAAATTTGTTTTCAAATAATCAAAGTACGCAGTTTGAATGTTAACCAGATCTCGAACAATCTACTATCATTGATTTGAATGATAGAGATTTTAAAATTTTAAAAAATAATAACTATAATTTGTAACAAATGAATCAAAATAAGGGCACAATAAATAATTTTGCATACACCTAATTTTTATGTGTACTCCCTCGAAAAATTTTACAATCCAATATCACCAAATTAAATTTATTTTTTCCCTTTTAGCCCGAAAGTCACCACATTTATTAGGTTTCCATAAATATGCTGAAAATTTGATCTTCCTTGTTCCTTCTTCCAATCCAGCTTTTCATATGCTTAATAAGATGCCTACTCGCTCTTAAATAGCTTTATTATTTTTTGGGTGAAATTAAGTAGCTTTATTGGAGTTAACTATACATTGCACTTCTCTGAGTTTGAATATAATAAATTACATTAAAATTAAAAATATATTCAAAATTATGTGAATGGTGTAACTTTTTCTTGGGGTAAAAAGAATGATGTGATTTGTTATAAGTTTTATATTACTATTATTATTAATTTTATTTATCTCAAAAAAGAAATCACATAAAAAAATACTCCATCTACCCTCGTTTATATGACAATTTTTGACAAAATTACATTTATTTAATAAACTTTATAATCCTATTTTTTAAAATACAAATATAAGTTTTCAAAAATGCACATCATGTAATATAATATTTTTTTGTGAATATTAAATGGAAAGAAAATATAATAAAAAGGTAAAGGTAATATTAAAACAAATATAATTAATAAAATCTATTTTTTTTCAAAGTATTTTATATTTTAGAACATCAAATCACTTCTAAAAAATATCTTATAAATTAGGATGAAGAGAGTAATTTGCAACTTTGTTTTATCACTATATTTTCTTAAATCATAATAAAATTAATTTATTTTTTAATAGTTATTTAGTATCCGGTATAATACTAGGTTTTTGGGCCAACAAGTGCAAAAAACTTATGTATTTTAGTCAAACAAAGATAAAGGCAAAGACTAAGTATAAAGAGAAAGATATAACCTTTATTCACAATTCCCCCCCCCCCTCTCTCTCGGGGTCAAACACACACTCTCTTATTGAATGAACGTATAATTAAATCCTTGAAAATTTTCCAAAAATAAGAAATCGTTGTAGAGGATCCCATATTTATATTTTTATATATAAATGTGCATTTTATTTTCTTATTTTTCTAAAATAAATATTCATGCTCAATGCTCAGTATAGGGTTCAAAATCTGAAACGATGATACCGAGAAGTTTTATTCAATGTATTAATTAAATTCGACAAGTATTAATTAATATAAATTGTATCAACTCCTGTTGCACTTAGGTTAAAAGAAAACTGTTGTCCCGATTTGGAGTTATACAATTGCTGCGCGTTACGAAACACTGCTTCCCTCCGCCCTCCCCCCCTTTTCCTCTCTCTCTCTCTCTCTCTTATAAAACAAAACAAATATTAATTCAGACCAACATATTAATATTATTATAAGATAACATGAAAAAATTAGGTATTTGAACTTATGTACTCAATTTTATTTTTACAAATTAAATTAGGTATTAGGTATTGAAACTAATTTGGGCTGGGCTGGGGTTCTCTTCTGGTGTTTGTATTTACATGGAAATAGTTATAAGCTGCTTTCACTGACACTAACGCTTGGTGATAATTTTAGCCTAATTTTAATTTCAAAATCACATGTTCTCTAATTTTATTTTAAAAAAATAGCATTAAAGCTCCGGAAAATCACTCCCAAGTTCCTCACAACAGTTTTAATAACCCTAAAGTCCCACAATTGCTGAAATTAGTATGGGGTCCCAAGATCCTCAGATGTAAATAACACTGCCAAGAAAATGACCCGTTTACCCCCTAGCATTATCTTCTTTCACGAGCTTCCTTACACCTTTGAAGCAACCAAATAATATTGACAGCGATGATGATGATGGCTCATTGTTGTGGAAATGATAAATATATTGATATCGACGTGGCTGCTTCGGCAAATGAGCTGATCCAACTTTACAACTCTGTCTTTGAGAAGTTTGACATCTATGGCAGCGGCACCGTCGACAAAGACGAGTTCAAGTAGCTGATAAAGAAGATTCTGCTCGCCATTGCCTATGACCTTTGGCTCTTCTCCCATCTGGATGCTTTTCAAAGACAACAGTCAGAGTATCCTTCAAAAAGCTGCATATCTCAAAGCTTCCAAGATATAATAAAACTTTGAGCTTCAATTTATGATCTTGAATCCTTCCTGACTAAGCTTGAAGTTGGTGTTGCCGCCAAGAGAGGATGGTTTTGAGGGAGAGATTGTGGTGAATGAAAGAAGAGAATGCTGGGGGGAAAATGGGTCATTCACAGCTAAGGACTGTGAGACTCCATACTAATTTCAGCAACTAGTGGCACTTTAAGGTCATTACAATCGTTGTGGGGGACTTGGGAGTGATTTCTCCTTAAAGCTTTATTTGGTATGGAAAAATTAGGAAAGAAAATTGAATTTATTTAAACGTGATTTCTTTCAGCTTGATTCCAATATGTGTGAATTTAAGATTTTGGAGAGTTGAAACCTACCTTCCTAAAACACTTTTTGCATGAGCTTCCGGTATATCTTACGCTTACCTCATTCAAGCTATGAGGATTTAACAAGATCCAGGCTAATCTGGATTGAGACATAACAAGCATCATAAGGATGGGTGCTCCTAGTTACTAGATTGTTGCATTTCCAAAATTCAAACTCAATTGATACCTTTGATAGGAATATATATATATATATATATATATATTCTCAAGTCAAAGTCTTGAAAAATATTAATTGTATTTATCATAAATATTTTATATTATTGTTTCAAGAATATCATATTTCTCCAACTGTGTCTTGATTAAGATTTCGTTCACTTAATTTTAAGGATACATATGTGATACATATGTGTGTGTTTGCGCGCGCGCGCACAAATAATAAAAATATTATCCTAGCCTCCATTCTTCACTCGCCCTCCTCCCTCCACCAAGAAATATTAGGGAAGATAATGGGTATTTTAACATTAAAAATTTTTCTATTTATTAAAAAAATAATAATTCTAACTTTCTAAAAGTTAAAATTGTCAAACAAGTATGTTAGACATAAATTTCTTAGGAAGTTAATTTCTAAAGAAAGTAAACTTTATGATGATTATGTGAACCAATTAAATGACCACTAACTCCCTAAAAATCTATAAACTGCAACCAATTTTATTAGAAATCTCTTGGGGAGAGCTACTACTAAATATACATTAGACTTATCCATTAGTTATATTGAAATAGCATTTTTAATTAGTCTTTTGTTGTGGATTGGAAGATATTCTTGATATACATAAAAAAAATGTAATTTTTTTGTTTGTATATCAAATTTCATGGCTTTAATATGAGAAACGTCCATTATTTAAAAATAATTTAATATAAGCTGGAGTCACCTCAAGTTTATAAATTCTTCTTCTTCTTTTGGCATGAAGAATCCCAAGAAATCAATTAGAAATCAATCAAGATTCTTTTATGTGTGTGTCAGAATCAAATGCTTTATCACTTCTGGACCTTATTATTAAGTGTTTTTAACTACTTTATTGGTTAATTCATTAAATATGTTTTAAAATTAAAATAATTATTTAACTTTACCCCTATTAAAAATATTAACAGAAAAA